GCGATTAACATGCTCACCTCCACAAAAATCACATTTCAGAGTTTGTACCTGACTCGCGTTAGCTTGAGCCAACTGAATTGCAGCCAATTGTTTGGTGAGAGCTTCCATTTGAGTTAGCAATATTGTTTGTGTGTCAATGGCTAACACACTTTTACTTTTCACAACTTGCTCGCTTGAGCAGTACTCATTTCGACACATATTTTCTATTAGTCTCCTAACCTCGTCATCAGTTTTTCTCTCAATGAATCTCCAACTAAAGAATTAATAGGATTCGAGTGGTTGTTGTCAATCTTCTCATAAATTTTGATAACTAATCAAACTATGGTTATGATTCTGACACTTTATGAGTAACAATTTAAACTTTTCCCAAGCATCTAACAGAGACTAACAATCTTTCTGGCCAAAATTTATAATTGCAGCTTTGACAAGTAGTGTGGGCGTGTGAGTTCTAGTGGCGAACATCGTGCTTTTATCCCTTTCTCTCTAATTTTTTGCACTATGTGCTTTTTCCACTTAAATGCTTCTAACTTGTTCAATATTTATTAGAATTCGACGATTTTTCTTGCTAAATGACGTGTACTGATAGTCCTTCATAAATCACCAAACAAGATAAGTAACAACCACTTCGAATTTAACTAGCAATTATATAACATATATGTCATTCTTTGTATAAACCAACTTTTATATCTTGGTGCAATCATGACTATCTCTTAGGGAATTATAAAAATTAGAATGATATATATATTCTCTAACTTCTTAAAAACACAAGACCCGCAATGGTCTCTAATTATTATTATATTATATTATATTACCTCTAGTTGGAGTGTGACAATATTAGCATATTATATGCTACATGTTTCATTTTTTTCACATTATACACATATGACATTGTTAATTAGTAAATCATAATATAAATGTTTGTATATTGCTCAGCATTCGAAAACTATAAATGCAAAACTAATAATACATCTCTAACAAAGAGAACATGGTGAATTTATATATCAAGTAGCACCAAAAAATTGCACGACAAATTGACAATTGTACACTTCTCACAATTGAAAGATTCCTTAAGAATGTATAGAAGACATGTGTCAAGTGACACTTTGATCAATATGGATACCATTCCATAAACGAATACACATATGTGAGACAAAGATGATTTATTCTTTTAAATCATGTGGTTATATTGTGATTATTGTATGTCTTTGCATAAGCTAAATACAAATGGTTATACACTCAAACCAAAGGAGTAAAATCCACCCCAAATAAAGATTCAAAGATATATAGTATAAGACAAAAGATTTTAAAAATAGAGAAACTTTGGAAGAATAACTTTGTCCTCACTTTCATACATAACTATGTCAAAAATATATCAAAGTTATGGAATTCATATTCTCGACAACTTAGAAAAACTAGTATCCCTCTCCCAACTTCTGAGTTCTAATGAGGGCTTGACACTTTATATTTCATAAAAAGGCATCAGGCACTCTTGTCGGATTGAATTAATACACAATGCTTTATAGGAATAATTCTTGCTTTGAGTTTGTGTTTTCTGTTTTTGTTGTGCATGAAATGGTAAGAAGAAAACACTTCGGACAAATTAATTTCCTATTAAGAATGAGTTTTAAGGTACATGTTTTTGGTATGCATGATTACAAGTTGAATTTCCCTTTCAAGCTACTACGTGTTTGAGTGAGAACTTTGAATCTCAAAATTTTCTGCCCTTCATTTTGTTAACAACACAAGACGATCCAAAGATTCCTCATTAGGAGCATGAACGAGAACATGATGACTTTTTCACCGAAACTATAGAATGTCAACGACAATAACTATTAAAGCACAACGTTAGAACACAATAAAAATATTTGTTGCCTCCCATTTATTCATCAATTCTGCTAGTATGAAGTATCAACTAACCTTGCAAGTTAGCATGCCCAGACAAACTATGATTACAAGTCTTATTGGGCCGATTTACAATACAACAAATTTATTTGCCATAATCACAACAAAGAGATTCTTAATCAGTCATCTACGTCCCCGGATAAAGGAACGCCAACATCACTAACTACGATCTCGTTGAAAATGTTGGAAATCTATCAAATATCTATGATGAATTTCTATCAATCTTGATGAACAAGATTGATATCACCTCACAATGACAATGAATACGAAAAAAAAAAAAAAAACAATTATTTTCTACAGAGTTTCTCTCTGCTCACAAACTGTGGAAAATTTTCTTATTCATTTTGCAACTGAAAATACTGTGAATACAATGAAATAACTTGATTACAAAATTAGAGATTACTCTCTCTATTTATAGATTTAGGTTAGTTAAAGCCCAAAACTATAAAAGCCCAAAATATCTATTTTAGATCTAAATCAAATCTATCTAAATCTAAAACAAATCAAATTTGTGTGTAGCATGCTTCGATCCACAAGCTCTTCGACTGGGTAACCTCCCTTCGATACACACATTATTTTCGAAACAATTGAATTACAATTTAACACACCACTTAATTCATTGTGTCTAAACTATCTATATTCATCATGGTTTTTAATCTTCTGAATACTTTGACTTGCACTCCCTTCGTCATGATGTATGCAATCTGATTCTCAGTTCTGCAGTGTTCCAAATTCATCTTCCCATCTGCTACCTTCTCTCGAAGCTAGTGGAACGTCGTTTCGATGTGCTTGCTTCGACCATGTGCTATCGGGTTCTTCGACAGATTGATAGCTGGCATGATGTCGATCTCCATGGTAATTGCTCCATGATCTTTCCCTGTTATCTCTTCAACCAAGTTCACCATCCAAGTTGTCTGGCATGCACAAAGAGAAGCAGCTATGTTTTCTGCTTCGCATGATGATAATGCCACTACTGGTTCCTTTCTTGAACTCCAAGCAACTGGTACACCATCTAGCATAAACACATATCCTGCTGTTGATTTTCGATCTTCAGCATCACTACACCAACTTGAACCAGTGTATTCCACTAACTTGCATTATTTTCCTTTATCAGCTGCAGGAAACAAAATTCTATAGTCGAGAGTTCCTTTAAGATACCTTAGTATCCTCTTCACTGCTGCTAGATGTGATACATTTGGCTTCTGCATGAATCTATTTACCATACCTACACTATATGCTAAGTCAGGCCTTGTATGACAAAGATATCTCAATGATCCAATAAGTCTTCTGTATTGGGTTGGGTCGACATCATCTTCATCTGCATCTTTCGACAATTGCAGTCTTGGTTCTACAGATGTCGAAGTTGAGTTGCATTCTTTCATCTCAAATCTCTTGAGAATTTCTCCTGCATATCTTCTTTGATGCATCATCAAACCTCTACTGCTCTTGTAGAATTCGATGCCAAGGAAATATGAAATCTCACCCAGATCAGACATTTTGAATTCCTTGCTTAGATCACATTTGAAGTCTTTGATCTCACTTTTGCAACTACCTGTTATCAACAAATCATCGACATAGAGACATAGTATAAGCAATTCACTATTGCTTCTTCTTACATATACTCCATGTTCAGTTGTGCACTTCACAGATTCCTTCTCCCTTAGGAAACTATCAATTTTCTTATTCCAAGCTCTTGGAGCTTGTTTTAATCCATACATGGCTTTATACAGTCTGTACACATTTCTCTCTTCGTCATGTTTCATAAACCCAACTAATTGTTTAACATAAACTTCTTCGTCTAAGGGTCCATTCAGGAATACACATTTCACGTCCATCTGACATATGTGTCATTTGTTTATTTCTGTTAGACCAACAACCAACCTCGTTGTTTCGATCCTAGCAACAGGTGCAAAAACTTCATCGAAGTCTATTCCTTCTTTCTATAGAAATCCTTTCGCCACAAGCCTTGCTTTGTGTCGAATTACTTCCTCTTTCGAATTCATTTTCACTTTGTATACCCATTTGACATCAATTTCCTTCTTGCCTTGAGGCGATTCAACGAGACCAAGTGTTGTTGTCTTCGATAGACTTCACTTCTTCGTTCATCGTTCTTGATACCAGATGTTGAAAATCCACCAAATATCTATGATGAATTTCTATAAATCTTGATGAACAATATTGATATCACCTCACAATGACAATGAATTACGAGAAGAAAAAAAAAAGACAATTATTTTCGGCAGAGTTTCTCTCTGCCCACAAATTGTGAAAAACTTTTTTATTCACTTTACAACTGCAAAATATTGTAAATACAATGAATTGACTTGATTACAAAATTAGGAATTACTCCCTCTATTTATATATTTAGGTTAGCTAAAACACAACTATAAAAACCCAAAATATCTATTTTAGATCTAAATCAAATCTATCTAAATCTAAAACAAATCAAATCTGTGTGTAGTCTGCTTTGATCCACAAGCTCTTCGACTGGGCAACCTCCCTTCGACACACACTGTCTCGACACAATCGAATTACAATTTAACAGAAGAGTCTTATGTATTCAAGTGTGACCCCAAAAAAAAAATCATCGACTACCATGAAAACACAAATGTTGAACTCTATCCATTTGGAGTAATTTCATCATCATATATGCGCTATATTTAAAGCTATTACAGTGAAAAGCGGTAATTTCACTTTTTGGTGTCCATTCAAAGCAATAACAATTACCAATTACCAATTGAAATGAGTACAACTAACACAAGTTGATGCATAGCAAGTGAAAAAGATCTCATTATCAACACTTCAAGAGCAAAAATGAAAATTTATTACCATAGAAAGATAATATAATGAGATCTAAGGTGTTAGTTACAAAGTAATAATAATACAAGGAAAATCCTCATCCTGGGTCAAAGACTGTTTGTGTGCACACTTTTAGTAGAATTTTTTAACAAAAGATATAACCATCCAAAGTATATCCCAAGTTCTTCCCTCTATCTAACCTTGGTAACATTTTTTTTTTGTGACAAGAACCTTGTAACATCTTCGACAAGATACGACCCAGAAAGCTGACTAAAACAAAACAAGCATATTCAAGTGCTTTATTCTGATGATTGAGGCCTATAATCAAGCATCTCCTTGATATTTAACCTAACAGAAGGCCCCATTGCTGAGCATATGTGTGCACTTTTCCAGTACACACCTTTCGCGCCCGAAGGTTTGTTCGAGTCTACTGATTTCTGCGAAATTAGAATGATGGGTTAGAAGTTTGGCGATGAGTGAAATACAAATAGAATTTCTGTTTGGGGAAAAACATACTATAGCAGAGAGCAAGTTAGTAAGAAGATCTTCTTCCGGAAAATCAGCTTTTCCAAAAGGCAAGTGCACGATTCCTGTTTTATCTGCCCTGTATTCAACTTTTCCCTGTTTGAATTCTGATATAGCCTGTAAAGATGAATTTATTTAAGAACAAAAAAGTTCCATTTTAGAAATGTGCAATCATGGTTAGTTCATATACATTTTGCATTGCAAGAATTCTGTGTGTGTGCACCCAGTTAAAGTGAACTGAGAAAGAAAAATACTAAAAGTAGATATACTGCACCTGAGAAATATTAGACGTTACAGTGCCAGCTTTAGGATTTGGCATGAGTCCTCTTGGCCCCAGAATCTTTCCTAGGCTAGCAACCTGACACAGTCAGCGATGGCAACTAAATGAGTTTTCCAATTTCCATCATAATCCTAAATACTCATATGACCCATAGGTCCCTGGATCAGAATCAAGCTCGGATACTAACTTGAATAGTTTAGAATGATCAACTTGCATTACACAGATAGTCTCTCAAAATAAGGAAAAAATAATAATCTAAGGAACCAGTATCAACAATATTAAATAGAGAATAATTCTAATTACGACAATAATCAACAGAACTTTTCAATACTAACAGAAAACCATACAGCATGCTACTAAAAATTGATTTGCATTTAAGATTATTAAATGATGAACTCTTTGAAAGATCAGGCATGAACAAGGATATAAGGATGACTTGGTTGCTGAAGGAGGCCGAGGGTTTGATCCTCACTCCTAGTACAATACTAACATTGACTGTTTCAAAAAGAAAATAGAAAAGAAAAATCAAGCTTGAACCTGAGCATAGCATCAAATATGGTGTCAGTCTAGTTATCTAGATTTCAGCTATAAAGGCTATGCAAGCATGCATTAGTGACACACTCTCAAAGAACCTGATTTGAATGAACATAGATATCTCTAGACTAATTGAAATTAAATTTACCAACCACTTGAAAAAATTATCCTCAGTACACATTAGGAGAACATGATAATGCAAATGGTTTCGTTTAATCAGTTACTAACTTTCCGAATCATTTATTGATATTAAATCATTTTTTCTAATACTAAAATTATAATTAATATAAAAAAAATGAACAGAAAATAAAAATTCAAATTACAACAGAAAATGGGAACCACCTTAGGCATCATATCTGGAGAAGCAATTAACTTATCAAATTCCATGAATCCTCCTTTTATCTGTTCTATCAGGTCCTCTCCACCTACCAAATCAGCTCCTGCTTTTTTTGCTTCATCGAATTTTTCACCTATCAAAGTGAGGTATAAATTAGAATAGCCAATGTGACAATGAATATATTGTGAATTGTAAGTGGCGATTCAGTTGGTTGTGCATACACACTAAATCATGAGGAAACTAATTTGTCCATATTAGAAAACTGTCAAGAAGAAGCAAATGCAATTATGGTCATTAACAAGTTATTGGGGTGAAAACTCAATCCACTATCCATTTTATGGTATTAAACTTAAAACCCTCGATTATCCATGTTTTAATGAGGAAAAACAGTGTTGAATTAATCAGCATAAGCACCTTGAGTAAGAACAGCCACTTTAATAGGCTTTCCGGTTCCCTTTGGCAGACTTACCTATTAAGAGAGAATGGAGAAAAGAGTTGAATTAATTCATGTGTGGTAAATTTTGTAAATAGAAAATGAAGAAAAGAGCAGGAGACTCACTGTAGCTCTTAACTGTTGATCATTATATTTAGGGTCAATGTTAAGGCGGAAATGGGCTTCAACTGTTTCTACAAACTTGGTTTTAGCTGTTTCTTTTACCAAAGAAATTGCTGTCTTCAAGTCATACTCTTTCTTAAGCTCCCTCAATTTTTGAATTTCCAAGAATCTCTTAGATCTCACCTGGTGAAAATAAGATTGCAAGGATGAAATAAAAAGTATAAAAGAATCAGAATGAAAAGAATTAGAAGTTACCCTATCAGCCTTGAGTGGCAATGCAGCTTTCCCAGTCTTAGGCTTAATTGCGACAGTAACAGTGTTAATAGGAACAGCCTCCTCGTCTTCGTCTTCATCAAGCGTTTCGGCGACGCCAGCGGCAAGTGCAGAAACAAAGGAATTGGAAACCCTAGATTGGTAGGTTAGACGAAGAGGTTTGAGAACGAGTGGGGAGAGGAAGAAGGTTCTGGAGAGAGGGAAAGAACGGTTGGAAGGAGAGAGGTCTTGTGAATTGGTTGTGTGTGTTGATAAGAATAGAGATGATGAAGGTGGGGTGGTTGTACATGAAGCCATGGGAAACGGAGTGTGGTGGTGAAAGGAAGACATTGCCTAGTTTTATCTATTATTTCGCGAGGAGATAAGAATGTGATGGGTTCTATCGTGTAACAATTCACGGCTGGATTTGTTTTATTTTGTTGTGGTGCTCCTTTTTCTTTAGCGGAAACCCTCTAAACATGTCCTTATTACTTACATTCATGGATGTTATATTTAATCTAGATTATATTAGTATTTATGTTAATATTTACAAAATTAAATTGGATTATATTCTTTTTTAACTAATTAATTAAATTTTTAACATTTACAAAATTAAATTGGATTATATTCTTTTTTAACTAATTAATTAAATTTTTAACATTTACAAAATTAAATTGGATTATATTCTTTTTTAACTAATTAATTAAATTTTTATTTTTGAACTCTGCTTGAGTTATCATGTGATTCTAGAAAGAGAGAGTCTCGTTTCTCTCTAGATTTATTTTGACTATTTCAGTTTCTTATTTATCTCATGTCTTACTATCGAGTGGAAAAGGGTAAAGAGACGTGGTTTTAGATATGTTCAAGTCAAGTGGGATGTTGTTTCTGGAGAGAAGTAGGTTGAAGGAAGAGGAGGGCTCCGCGATTTCCTCTTTTTTTCTTCTGAAATACTAGATCAAATCAAAGCTTCAGATATCTTCGAGCTCTTTGGTTGCATCGAGGATGTTGTTGAGGTGGTTATTCCACGAAAAAGAACAAATTTGGGAAACAGTTTGGTTTCGCAAGGTTTAAAGAGGTAGGAGACGAGAGGATTTTTCGCAGTCAAATTGGAAAACGTGATGATTGATGGGAAGAAAATACATGCAAACTATCCACGGTTCGATGGGAAGGTGGACGGTTTGGCAAAATAGGAGGTTAGAGGGGAAAGGCCTAGGGTTGTCCCAAAGAAGTCCTTTTAGAGCGAGCGCTTCCAAGAATTTTGGGTCGGAGTTCATAAAGGGAAATAAATCGTTTGTTGAGGTCGTGACAAACAAGGAGATTCATAACTCAGTCTCAGGGATTATCTTTGTGCTACTTAAATTAAAAATCAGACGAGGTGGATCTCTCAAGATTGAGGAAAGCTTTTGTTGGGGTCGTCTTGAACCCAGGTATGGCTTATAACATTCAATTGAGCTTTGAGATTGAAGGTTGTTTTTCTATTAAGGTAACGTTGCTTGGGGAGAACTTATGCTTACTAGAAGAGTTTGAGGAAGGTGTCATCAGAGACCTAATTAAGGAAGGAAGAAGTTGGTGGAGCCAATGGTTCTCAGTCATCAGAGAATGGAGGGAAGGGGATGTTGACAAGGAAATGGTAACTTGGTTAAGGGTTTACGGAATTCCTTGCCACACTTGGAATGTTTTGTTTTACGAAATGCTTGCCAAGTAGGAATGTATGTATGTTATAATGAGAATACTCTGAACTCTGTTAATTTGGACATTATGAGAATTCTTGTTAGAATAACATGTGGCTATGTGTTGAATGAATCTTTTAACGTCAAGATCGATGGTATTATGTTTAGAATAAAAATGTATGGAGACTCTCATGGGCCTTTGAGGATTTCTTTGAATCAGAAAGTTGCGAAGACAATTTCAACGGATTCATCTTCGGATTCTGAGTTCCGTTGGCATAAACAGGAGGATGAAAACTTAGATGAAGCTTTATATGATATTGCGTATATTTTTTTGGGTACTTGTAATCTCCATGTGTACTGTTCAAAGGGAAAGGAAGACGTCAAATAAGTTTCATCGGTAAAGGAAGTTTTTGGAATAGGTAGTTCTGAGTCTCCTCGAAAAGAGGAAACTGAAAGTGATTTTTGTTGCTTCGATGAGGCTCTAGTGGTGGCTAGGGAGGTGGCATCAGATGTTAAGTTAGGAGGTAGGGCCTTGCTGAGTATTATTTTATTTCCTGAAGTTTTATTAGAGGGAGATAGCTTTTCTGTTGATACTTTTTTTAAGCTAAACAAGTCAAAACAAAAGGCATTTGTTATTCAAAAGGGTTACCAAATTGAGAAGTATTTATGAGGTGGGTGGGCCTTTATATTTAAAGAAAATAAGGCTCAAGAAGAGAGTCTTAAAAGAAAGTTCTGATTCCATTTATTTGTTCGGTTCCTCGTTGGGCCGAACTCAGGAGGTTAGCTTGAATAGCATTTGTAAGGAGTCCAAACCTTCCTTTTCTCAACTCCATTAAGTTTCTGGGTAAAGGGAGGGCTTTTCAGCAGGGGTTATTCTTTGTGGTGGGTGTATTTCGGACGCTGATATGGTTCAATGCAATTTCAGATTCAACTAACAATTGGTGTCTAATGTTGGAGTCAAACTTTAGTCTTCTATTACTAAGCTTGGCGTAGTGCCCCAAGGTGCAGAGAGGGATTATCAAAGCAAGATAGATGAGATGAAGAGTAAATACAGATAGAGGAAGCATGGTTTGAAGGCGTTATATAATTTGGGAACATGATTATTGGAGCTCTTAATATTAGGGGAGGCGGTAGCTCGATGAACAGGAAGAAGATCAGACAGATAATTCACCAAGGTAAAGTCGATATTTTCTTACTTCAGGAAACTAAATTGGTTGATGTTGATCACTTTTTAGTTGGTATTTTTTTGGAACAAAGCTAAAGTGGGTTGGTCCTTTTCTAAATCAGAGGGTTTCTCTGGTGGATTAATCACTTTGTGGAAGGAGGACATTTTTTATGTTATTCATAGTTTTAAGGGAGAAGGCTAATTAGGGATAAAACTGAGTTGGAGTGAGATTTTTGTCTATATAGTTAATGTTTATTCTCCTTATACTCTGCATCTTAACAGAAAATTATGGAGGGATTTGTTGATTTTTAGATCAAAATTCACAGATGGAGATTGAGTTATAGTCAGTGATTTTAACTCAACTAAGAATGAAAGGGAGAGGAAAGGCAGAAGTTTGGTCAGGAGCTCTGAAATGAGGAATTTCTCTACTTTTATTGAGGATAGAAATTTGATTGATATTCTTGTAAAGGCAATCAGTTTAGCTGGTATAGTAGAGATGGAAAAGCCATGAGCAGAATATATTGTTTTTTGGTGGAGGATTCTCTTATTAGCTGATGAGGGATCGTTGGTCAGTTGATTGGATCTAGGGATATTTTTGATCACTACTCAATATGGATTGTAATCAATAAGAAGGATTGGGGGTCCAGAACCGTTTATGGTGAACAATAGTTGGTTTGATAATAAGGATTTTCTTCCTTTTAGGGAGCGTGATTGGAGGAAACTTAGAGTTGAAGGTAGAGGTGACTTTGTGTTAAAGCATAAGTTAAGATTGCTTAAAAATAGTCATAGGAGGTGGAATGTTGAAGATTTTTGGAAAATCGATTTGGAGATTGAGGAAGGCAAGAAGAGAATCAATGAGGCGGATGCTTTATTAATGTCTTGTAGGGAGGACCAAGTGAAGTAAATGGTGGCTCTTATAAGCGAGGAAACTAGTCGAATGTGGATGCAGATGAAAATAAAAAGAAAACACGCCCCTTCAAAGGTCGAGGTTGAAGTGGGATAGATAAGGTGATTCGAACAGTAAATTCTTCCACTGTGTGATGAAGGCAAGGTGTAGGGGTAATCTCATTAGCCATATTGTCACTGAAGGAGGTGTAATGAAGTCGGTTGGTGAAGTCAAGGAAGAGGTTAGGAGGCATTTTTCTTAGAAATTTGTGGAACCCGATTTTTAACTTCCTATTCTTGAAGGAGTTCCTCTTAAATCTCTTTCTCATGTTGAGTGGGCTTCGCTGGAAGATCTATTTTCAGAGTCGCAGATTAAAGAGGCTATTTGGGGTTGTGAAGGTTCGAAGAGCCCTGGGCCAGACGAGTACAACTTTTTCTTCATTATAAAGTATTGGGATTTTCTTAGTGTATTTTCTTCGGTTTTTAATGACTACCATGATAATGGAATTCTCTCCAAGGCTATCTCTTCTTCCTTTTTAGCTTTGATTCCCAAGAAGTCTAATCCACACGATCTGGATGAGTATAGACCAATTTGTTTGGTGGGATGTTTATACAAATCCCTTTCTAAGCTTTTGGCAGCTAGATTGAAAAGGATGTTGAATTCCTTAACTTTCTAGTTGTCAAAGTGCTTTTGTTCCGGGAAGGCATCTTTTAAATGGTGTTTTAGTAGCTAACAAAGTTGTGGATTATGCGACAAAGTCAAAGTTTCTATTTAAAGTAGATTTTGAAAAGTCATATGACAAGGTCTGTTGGGATTTTCTTAGGTATATGTTGAGGAGAATGGGTTTTGGATAGTTATGGGTGAAGTGGATGGAAGCTACAGTTTTCTCGAGTTGGATGTTGGTTCTTATAAATGGGAGCCTTACAAAAGAATTTGAGGTTGGTAGAGGTCTTAGGCAAGGTGATCCACTTTCCTCGTTTCTATTTGTTATCATTGCAGAAGGATTATATGGTTTGGTTAGCAAGGTTGTTCATATTAATGAATTTTCTAGTTTCTCTGTGGAGGGTAAATGTGTGGTCGAAGTTTTACAAACTGCTGATGACATTCTATTAGTGAGGAACAACAATTGGAATCAGGTGTGGACGCTTAAGGCAGTGTTGAGATGGTTTGAAGTCGTGTTGGGGCTTAGTATTAACTTCCATAAAAGTATGCTTATTGGTATTAACTTGAGTCTGCATTTTCTTCTAGCAGCGGAAAATTGTATCTCTTGAAGGTTAAAAGACAAGTCTTTTTCGTTTCATAGAATCCCTATAGGATCCAATCCGAGAAGGTGTCTTTGTGGAATCCATTGATTTCAAAGATTAAGGATCGTCTTGCTGTTTTGAAAGGAAAGTTTCTTAATATAGGTGGAAGAATCACTTTGATAAATACGGTTCTTTCCAGCGTTTCTATTTTCCAACTTTCTTTCTTTAAAGCTACACTTAAAATTTACAAAGAATTGAAAAGATTCATAATAAGTTTCTTTGGGGAGGTACATTCGTTAAAAGGAAGATTCACTGGATTTGACGACAGTCTCTTTGTTCACCTTTTGAGAAAT